CCCCCGTCCCTGGGATTCTCCAGGCAAGAACACTGGAGTGGGTTGCCATTTCCTTCTCCAATGCATGAAAGTGAAAAGTGAAAGTGAAGTCTCTCAGTCGCGTCTGACTTTTAGTGACCCTGTGAACTGCAGCCCACCAGGCTCCTCCATCCATGGGATTTTCCAGGCAAGAGTACTGGAGTGGGGTGCTATTGCCTTCTTAGACTGCCTAGTGGTTCTCAAACTTTAGTGTGCATCAGAATCACCTGGAGGGGTCACTAAAACATACTTCTGGGCACCATCCACAGAGTTTCTTTTTAGTAGATCTTAGGTGGGTTTTGAACTCTGTATGTCTAGGAAGTTCCTGGATGTGGCTAGTGCTGCTGGTCTGCCCACTCAACTTGGAGAACTGTTGCTGACTTCTGAGGGGTAATACCACGGTTAATAACTAGTTTTAACATAGCCACTAGAGGGCAGTGGAACCATAGAAAAATTAGGTGTGCAATAGAGTCCCTGGTTTATGCTATCAGCTACAGTTTTGCCATAGGCTGTAAGAAAACCAAAGCCAAACATTAATTTCCTATACAATATCATGAGGTCATTCTCAACTGTAATAAAAATAAAAGCTTGTCTTTGTGGTTGTGAGGGTTATAGGGATACAGTGCAGTTCCAACTCTGGGTGATGCTTGTAATCACAATAAATTAAAAACCGGACTTTTCTAAGTGGGCTTTTGCATGTATATCTAGTAGTATTGGGGGTTTACATGAACAATTTGTGGTTTCCCAGAGAGGTGGCATTTTGATAATAGGTTTAGTTACGAAGATAATTCTACACTTAAATAGTATTTATTGTTTTGATACATGTACTTTTTATTTTGTGAAAGCGAGACCTAAGTACTTTTAAAAGTATTAAACCTGTTATACACTAAACTCAAAGAACATAAAGATTCGCAGACTATCAGGAATTTGTAATTCTTTTCTCCCAGATGTATTGTTTGATAGTACAAAAGGACTAGAGAAAAATCAAAAGATACAATTTGCAGGGTCCTTGTTATATTGTCTTTTGCTTTGAAAGCCCAAAGGCCTGAATTTGATTTCTTGCCTTGTCATTATTACCTGGATGACCTTGATGATTTAATCTCTCTAAGTCTCAATTTCTATATATGTAGAGAGAGAATTACATAATACAGCTATCTCTCTGGGTTGTTGAGAAAAATCAGTGAGATACTATTTGTGATAGTGTTTTATATATTGCAACTATATTTGAAATTTTCTATTTTTGACATACTTTATATTTTGACATATTATTTTTGACACCAGCATGCAGTATATTTTGAACTTAGTTTTGATGTCATTGGAGAAGGACATGGCAACCCACTCCAGTACTCTTGCCTGGAAAATCCCACAGATGGAGGAGCCTGGTGGGCTATAGTCCATGGGGTCGCGCAGAGTTGGACATGACTTAGTGACTTCACTTTCGCTTATCACTTTCATGCATTGGAGAAGGAAATGGCAACCCACTCCAGTGTTCTTGCCTGGAGAATCCCAGGGACAGAGGAGCCTGGTGGGCTGCTGTCTATGGGGTCGCACAGAATTGGACACGACTGAAGTGACTTAGCAGCAGCAGCAGTTGATGTCATTATACCATTGTAAAATTGCTCCTGGGCTTCCCTGGTGGCTCAGTGGTGAAGAATCTGCCTGCCAATGCAGGAGATGTGGGTTCGATTTCTGGGTGGCGAAGATCCTCTGGAGAAGGAAATGGCAACCCACTCTATATTATTTTTTAAATTATGAAAGTGTGATAACACATTTACAGGAAACTTGGAAAATACAGAACAAAGTTACATATGGTTCTACTATACATTACAATGATTTTCTTAAGTAGATAAGATTTTTAGTTGGAGTTTTATATCAAACTCAAAAATTAATAGAGTGAATAGACAGAAAAGTAGAAGGATATAGTAGACCTGAAAAGCACTATGAACCAATTCAATGTGATTAAGATTGATAACAATTTTCACCCAACAGCAGGATACAAATTCTATTCAAGTTCCCCTAGACTATAAGC